CCCCCCCCAAAAAAAAAAAAAATCTTCTCCGCCCCCGCCTGCCAGGCCGGAGGAGCAACCGGACGGCTCCGGGACGGCGCCTGGGCCCCCAAAGCTCCGACAGAAGCAGGGAGTGCACGGGGGGTTTTAGGGTTGAGTTTTAGGGGTTTCATGGTTTGCAGTTTCGGTTTAGGGTTTAGCGTTTGGGTTTTTTGGAGTTTGAGTGCCTTGTTGTTTTTTGCTTCTTGTGAGGTGGCTTAGGGTTTCAGGGTTTTTCGGGTTTTAGGGTTTTAGGATAAGGTTTAGGTGTTGAGGGGTTTCGGTTTGGGGTTCTCATTGCCTTTAGTTTATCTTTTCGTTCTTGCTTTCTCATAGTCGCCAGTCACACTTGCTGTTATCGTCGTTGTTTGAGCGGATCAGAGCTGCCAGTACTGCTGCTCGGGACGGAACGGAATGCTGCGGCTTGGAAACCAAACTTATGTGTCATACTTCCGTCGACGTGGGGCAAGAAAGGTCAGCAAACGGTAGGCCACCCCAAAGGGAACGTAGACCCACAGAACCCAAACGAAAACCTGCTGTAAAACCTTTGAAAGCTCAAGGGCTTCCAACCCATCCGGGCGAGGCCAGAGATAGTAGCCGAGCGATTCGTTTGCATCGCCAACGATGAGCACCCCAGGCACACTCTCTGCGTGGGCTTTTCTCCGGTACAGCATCTGTATGGTCTGATGTTTTGCAAGGTTGACAGGGTTTGGGGTTTCGGGTTTGAGGTCCAGGCTGCTTCTTTGAGTCTGAAAGGGGGGGGGAACAAGCTAAACCCTAAACCCTAAACCCTGAACCCTAAACCCTAAACCCTAAACCGTAGCATATCGGGGAGAGAGCTGCATGATTGCATTGAGCACGTCTGCGCGCAGAAGCTAGCCTTGGTCCGGCTACAATCGCAAACCCTGAACCCTTGACTCGAAGGTGTCAGACCACCCTAAAACCCTAAAAACCCTAAACCCTAAAACCCTAAACCCCAAAACCCTACAACCCTAAACCCTAAAACCCTAAACCCTAAAACCCTAAACCCTAAAACCCTAAAACCCTTAGCTCCACGTCGATAGCAGCTGTCCTGCCTCCAGGGTGGTCACATGCGAGGGCTTCGGGGCGAGCTTGCTCGGAGCCCAGCTTCAAAGCGATGCTTTTCCTCCGTGGAGGGTTTAGGAATAGCATTAGGATTGGGGTCTAGGGCTTGGCTTAGGATGTAGGGTTTAGTGGAAACCCTAAACCCTAAACCCTTACAAGATTGGTTCGAGAACAGCAACAGCACACGGGAGACCCAGGGTTTCCACAGAAAATCAGCCGATTTTGGTGGATAGGTAGAGACGAAAGATATGGGTAGTTCTCTAAACTAGGGTCCCTTTTTAGATCCCCAATATAGTACGGCACCCTTTAAGAAAAGGACCCCAAAAAGGGACCCTAATTTAGAGAACTACCCATATAGAAGCAAATGCTTGTATCCATTTCGCCATCAAATAAGATAGTCTGGGGAAGCGAGTTGAGAGTTGGGAGTAGTTCCTAAATCCAGACAGCGAAGCCTCGGCAGATTTGGGGTTTAGGGTTTGAACATAAGGTTTGGGGAGCCCTCATGCGAGAGCTGTGCAACAGATGCATCAGCCAAGTTGTTGCAATTACAGCCCTTGGGTTTTCGCAGCACCTGATAGCTTGCATCCTGATCTGCTTTTGCGATGACTCGCGAGGACGGCAACGGGGACCGTTATGGCAATGCTCGCTGCAGTTTTCCAGGGTTGTGAATGCAGCATGAGCCAACTTGATAGTTGCGCCGTACGCAGCGGGTCTGGCTAGCCGGTGACTACGTGCATGAAGTGCGTGAGAGATGCCGGCTGCGACTACTACTCGAGGCCAGGCTTCAGGATCAAGGACACCTTCGAACTGCTGATTGACGAGGCGACTCTCAGCTGGACAATATATCATAACCCTTGCTACTTGTAAGCCGATCGGCCACACACTCTCTGGCGTGTGCAGGACAGACGTCACACGTGGAGACATGTAGACAGTCCAATCCTGACGGTGGCGGAGCCGATCGAGGCAGCAGCCGACGCAGCTTGCATCGGTTGCTGCTTCGGTCGGCTCCGCCACCGTCCGTGGACGCCGGGGAGGTGGCCGCCAAAGAGGCCAAGCAGGCCACGGAGACGGTGGCCGATGCAGCCAAGGCCGAAGCCACAGGCGCTCAAACCGCTGAGCAAGCAGCAAGTGCCGGCCAGGCAGTGGCCGAAGCGGCCAAGGCGGCCAATCAGATCCCAGACCAACAGGCGGCCGCAGCTGACAAAGCTGCGGCAGAAGTGGCGAAGGCTGCTGTCCTGCATTCCTGCGCAGCGCCAGCACGACGAAGCATGATGCCGTGGTGCAATGTTCGGCGCAACGTCCATGCAGTGCGAAGGGCCCCCTCTGGGTTCACGTAGCCAGTGGTTCTGCTGGGGGCTAGGGTAGCTGAGCAAGCTCCGGCTCAGTGTTGCGACTTTTACGCGTCTCATGTACAGCGAGTGCAGACATTGCCGGGGGCAGAGCATGTGAGAGTCTTTGCACGTATATAAGAGGTGAACAAGATGCATCAGCCAAGTTGTTTCGGTTGCAGCCTTCGGTTTTCGCAGCACTCGAAAGCTTGCATCCTGATGTGCTTTCGCGATGGCAAGACTCACAAACACAGCAGCAGGTGACCGTCATGGCCATGCTCGCTGGGTTTTCAGGGGTTTTGGTGGATTATCAGGGGCTCTAAGCCATAAAGAAGGATTCTGGGAGCCCTAGACTTTGATAGTTATACACGCAAGCGGGCAAGCAAACAAGTAAGCAAAAGACCCTAGACACATAAATTAATGTCGGCATATAGAGCTTAGAGCTTTTGCCTTCCCATATGCATGTGCATATGCATGCGCACATGCGAAGATTAAAATCTGAAGGAACACATACGTATAACCAACCATGCACCCATCCATCCATGCATGTGTACACAAATACATACTTACTTGCATATGTGCCTGCATACATCTGAATGCACATATAATATTAACCCTAAACCCTAAACCCTAAACCCTAAACCCTAAACGTCACATATACACATGTTTTTTCCATCATGGTGTGAGCTGCCGTTTTGTCATAGACATGATGTTCCTGTAGCCATGTTTCCCCGTGTCTGTTAGTGGCGCCCTCTAAGTCTAAAGCCCCAAAATCCCTAATCCCTACACATGAAGCCGCAAGCGCCAAAGTCCTCAGCCTCAAATCATGAGTCATGCTGCAAGTATGTCCTCTGCGAGCTTTCAACATTCTGTGGGACGGATGGATCTTCAAAATGAACTTGGGAACCTAAAGGCTATGCACTAGTAGGAAGGGAAGCGGTGCTGATGACTGGGAACCTGGTGCTGTTTCTGTTCATTGCTGTCATTGCGATCTCCGTCAGCACAAGCGCCTCCACCGCCATCACCACCCTCACCGGCGCCACCCATCCTCCTCATGGCCTTAATCGTCGTCACCACTGCCATCATCGTCAGTTTGATTGTGGGGACTACTCATGTGTTCAGCGCTGAGACGTTGCCACCCACAGAACTAAGCAGAGATACAGATTCCTTCGGCGACGCCCCGAACCCCAAACCCCAAAACACTGCACCCCTAAACCCTCAAGCAATGAACCCCAAAAACAAAACCTAAACCCCAAAATCTTAAAGCCTTGAGCCCTAGGCCCCCAAACCGCAAAGCCCTCAATCCTAAGCCTGGAGAAAATCCCAAAACCTTAAACTTAGGGGTACTTAGAAATATTTTTTAATCTTTGGCTACTATAAACCCTAAGAAGCAGCTAAAATTATAGTTTTTGCTAGGGGTCCAAGTTCAGTATAGTAAAGGCTTTAACCCCAGCCCATTTATGGCACGTCTCGCAAGCCCTATGAAGCCTTTACCAATCGTATACACCACCGCAAGCCGCCTCTACAGCCCCACCGACCTGATCCCAGTGCCTTCGGTTTGTGCCCGCTCTTCCAAAAACCTTCGGCGCAACCCTTGGGTTTAGGGTTTAGGGTTTAGGGTAGTACTGCTTTTCACGAACCTTATACCAAACTGCCTACAATCCGCACTAAGCCCCTAAACCTTAAACCCTCAACCCTAAACCCCAAACCCGAAGCCCTCATTCGAAGGCTCCGGGGCCACACCGACGTGGTGATCTCCTGCGATGTCTCACCTGACGGAGCCTGGATTGCTACCGGCGGTTCGGCCCCAAGCAGAGCAGGAAGGACTCGGCTTAAGTTGCCCTAGTTGGGGCGGATAGGGCTTGAGGGTTTTAGGCAGGGAAAGTCAAGTTTTTTTGGTGTTAGGGTTTTTTGGGGGTTTAGGGTTTTGGGTTTGAGAGTCTAGTGTGTTTAGGGTTTCTCGGAGTTCCGGTTTGGGGTTATAGAGTTTCGAGTTTGGGTAAGTTTTGAGGGCGTAAACACGATCTCAAGCCAGCGATTAACTGCCGTCAGAGCTTTGATCAGCCCGGGGACGGCTCTAGTGTGCGACAGCCTGGTGCATAAAGGAGCATGCAACTTGACCTCAACTGCACTCCCTGTACCCTAAATCCTAAACCCTAAACCCTAAACCCTAAACCCTAAACCCTAAACCCTAAAACCCTAAACCCTGAACCCTAAACCCTGAAACCTAAGCCAAAAAAGTGCTTAAGTGCTTCGGGTCGGCAGCCGGATGCTGCAGCCCAAAGCCATAAACCCCCCAGCCCGAAAGCCTACGGATTTAGGGTTATTTATGGTTTCGGTTTAGGGTATAGGGTTTAGGGTTTGGGGTTTGGGGTTTCGGCTTAGGGTTTGGGGTTTAGGGCTCCAAAGCCTTGCTTAGCCTCCAGTCTTGGTCCCTAAGCCCCTCAAGCCCTGGCCCAAATCTTCCCCAACCCGTACATACGGTTTAGGGTTTAGGGTCTAGGATTTAGGGTTTAGGGTCCAGGGTTTAGGGGTTTAGGGTCCAGGGTTTAGGGGTTTAGGGTTTAGGGGTTTAGGGGTTTAGGGTTTAGGGTTTATGAAGCTCGTGGCCTCAGGCAAAGACCAGTCCATTCGCATCTGGAGTTCCAGCACCTGCCAGTTCGTCAGCTCCTCGGTGCTAGGGAGCAAGCCTCATGGCAGCAGCAGGCAGAAAAAGCCCAAGCTCAACCCTAAGCCCGAGCCGATGCTAAACCCGAAAGGACATTCTATTTTTGCATAAGACTCATGTAAGGATTTCAATTTCGACTTATCCAGATCTTTAGAAGAGTTTCGCTAAAGAGATCAGGTCGTTGTCGTGCTTGAACCATCCATGCACAACTCCTGGCTACATGCAGTATTGATTCGGGTCTTCGCGGGAAGCTTTGCGCCGCACAGCAGCGGGTCTCCCAACAAGCGTGGTCTCTGCACCAGTACCCCTGTCCAATCTGGTTCACATTGACATTTCCATGTCGCATGTATGACCACCATCCGACACAATATTGTTATGCATCCTGTGAATGCAACGCGCTCGTTGGGCTTCACGGCAGAGATGGGTGTCAGACGGCAATCCGGTCCTTAGTTATGTATCTAGCGAACGAGACAAGCAGTTTGGACGGTTCTACCTTATATGACTGGATATGAAAACATGACAAACCAATGAACTTCCTGTTATGGTGTTTCTATTCGGGCTTCACAGTCGTTTCAGGCCGGGGCACCGATTCGGAAGGCTCCTGGTAAGCCTCATGCACCGAGTGCATCGTGTCCCGGACTTCCATGTGCTCTGGTCGTTTTCCGGACCTCGAATCATCGTACCCTAAACCCTAAACCCTGTGTGTCGTTCGCCTGCCACGGATTCGCTTCTGGACTGTTCCATGATTGCATGCATCGCACCTACTTCTCCATATAACTTCCTGCCCAAGTGTTGAACCTAAAGTTCCCAAGCACAAAGGCTGAACCCTAGACCCTAGAAGAACACCCAAACCCCAAACCCCAAACCCCAAACCCTAAACCCTAATCCCTAAACCCCAAAGTCTCTGGCAGACAAGAGTCGAACCCAACCCTAAACAAAAAACCAAAGTCCAAATCAGCCGCCAGGCCTGCATCTGCGCCGGCCACGCGGGTGATGTGTTGGGCCCTCAGGGAACAGCAGAAGGCCGGCCACCCGAAGCATGGTTTTAGGGCTGAAGGGGACATATGGGTAGTTCTCTAAATTAGGGTCCCTTTTGGGGTCCTTTTTTTAAGGGTGCCGTACTCTATTGGGGACTTAAAAAGGGACCCTAATTTAGAGAACTACCCTTTCGAGGGTGCGAAAATGGGTTTATAACATCCTAAACCCTAAGCCCTTATTAAGGGGCTGCTGAGGAACCTAGGGTATAGGGTTTGGAGTTTATGGCAGGGTTTGGGGTCCAGCGCGGAGGCTTCGGGGTGTTGGGTTGTTTTCGAGTTCTAGACATAAGCCTACACCCTACAGGAAGAGCCGGCACCCTAAGCCAAAGCCCTGAAGCCTAACACCTGAGCCCTAACCAGAAGACCCAAACTACAAACCCTGAAGCATTAAATCAAGAGACTTTCACCAACAGTATAGTATATATCCCTTATATGAAGCCGTGATAAAACCCAGGCCGCTAATGTCCCTGCTAGAGATCTCACAGAACCCTGATCCCAAACCAGCTTTTTTTTGGGAATAAAACACCTTTTATGGTACCCCATAAGAGCCTTGTAGAGCCCTTGCAGAACCTTGAAAGACGCCTTATAGATCCTTAAATTCTTAACCGTTTATCAATATAGAAGCCTGCCTTCATATTATTGCTCAGGGACCCTGAATACAAACTTACTTCAATTTCCCCCAAAATCAGTCTTAGTATTAACGCTCCTATATAGAACCCCTACAGTACTCTTATAGTACCTTTCATTACTTCATTCTCCTTATAACCCTAAACCCTCAACCCT